GTGCATATTGGACGTGAAGAAGGGAGCAAGTTGCACGTGGGGAAAAAAACGCGCCTGATTTAAATGTCACACCTGAATGCTCACATCCTTTTAATTATGTTTGAAATTATGAAAATTGCTCAACATCATGAAAATTAAACCTTATTTTCAATAAGCAATCCTGAAAAATATTTGGGGGTGCTTAACTTTTTTCCAGGTGTATACTTCATCTATGATTGAACAAATGAATTGCATTATTTTTTTAACTGAATATTTGATTACTATAACTATATTGAAAAATTGGCATAGTTTTGTGCTGTCATGCAAGATCTGTCATCTTATGGTATTGTTATGCAACATTTGTCATCATATGTAATTGTGATGCAAGATCTGGCATAATATGATACTATCATACAAGATTTCTCATCATATGGTACTATCATACCACATTTAGTACCATGTGATATTGTCTTGAAATTGTGGTACTGTCATTTAAGAGGTGGTGACATGTGACATTGTCAGGTAAAATCTGACATCATATGGTACTGTCATGCAGGAACATGTTAATAACACTGAATTGTTTGTTTGGCAACTGTGTTTTTGTTTCATAAGTCTTGTTCTAAACTTAATTATAATGTCAAATACATTATTTTATTCTCTATTTAGAATTTCCTTATTGCACTTTGCTTGTTTTTTCATTTAGGCAAGTGTTTCTAGGCTGTGTATAGCAATACCATAAAATGGTTAATGTCCAAGAAAATGTTAATTTCCTGTCAGGTTACAAATGTGAAATTGGCTTTCAAGAAATACATGTAAAGGTATTTATGTTGTTTTTAATTATTTTAAGGTTATAGGAGTAATCAATAGTGTGAATATATTATTTTGAAGTGATCATCTTTCATCTTTTTACTGATAAATTCATTAATTTCTTCCTCTCAGTCCACTAGTTTCATTGGATCCTCTTCATGAAATTACCACCTGCTTGTTTGTACAGCTCTTTGAAGATGCTTTGAATGAGTATGCTTATGCAGCTTATATGGCAGGTCTCACTTATCAATTATATGACACTGAATACAGCATAAATGTAAGTTCAGAACTCATGCTGTTCTTTTCTCTTTTTTTTTGTTATCACAATAGTTATATTTGTATGGAGTAGTTTTTCACCATTTTTATACTATCTTTTATGCCTATTTCATTTTTGTTTTTATCTCATTACTTAGCTTCTTATACACACTGCATTCAGCAATTAATGGATGGTGAGAATTTTGTAGTACTTCACCTATCATGGGACAAATAATGATATCAGTCGTGCCTTCAGTTGAATATTATGTAAATTTATCATGTGATCTGAAGCGCAAACGTTTAGTATGTAAACTCTGCTATATGTGTATGTATGTGTTTTTACACAGTCTAGTCATAGTTCTCATTTTCAAGTGAATTACATAGTTTAGAGTGAGCTCCAAGTTATTCATGAACCATGGCAAGATCTAACAGAAGATAGTTAGATGTTTCATACACACAAAGAGCCACCAGACAAAAAGAAACCAGCCAGTCTTGGCAAATAAGTTATAAGTTTCTTAAAATGTTATTAGCAGGATGTGAACCATTTCCAAACCAGTGTTACGGTTGTTTCTATTCACTTAATGTGTCCTGGAAACCACTCTTTCAGAGGTGGAGTTGGAGGTGTCTCAGGCCCTTATCAACACTGAATTTAAGCTTGCAACATTGATATCACTTTAATCCTGTGTCAGCTTTCAACAGTCACAATAGCTGATGTCATACTCATAACATCAATAGTTCCTACAAATGGAGAGCGTAACTAAGAATTCAGAAACATCTGTCAGCTGAAAGGGAACTGCAACACATACCTTTTGGTGTTTTCAGAGCAAAATATGTTCACAATAGTTTGTGAAGTTCACTCAGTTTTGATTCATAAGAACAGAACATGGAGGTCCCTGAAATATTATTATCTGGCAAGCTGCTCCTAATGATTGCTCAGATGCTTAGAACACCAAGTTCATTAAGTATTTCATGTACATATGTTCTTTTGTAAATGAGGCCCGGCATGACCAGGTGGTTAGAGTGCTCGACTCGTAATCTAAGGGTAGCAGGTTCAACTCCCCATCCCACCAAACATGCTCACCCTTTCAGTCGTGGAGGCATTATAAGGTGACAGTCAATCACACTAATTGTTGGTAAAAAGAGTAGCCCAAGAGTTGGCAGTGGGTGGTGATGACTAGTGCCTTCTCTCTAGTCTTACACTGCTAAATTAGGGATGGCTAGTGCAGATAGCCTTTGGATAGCTTTGCACGAAATTCAAAACAAACAAACTTTTGTAAATGTACATACATCACGTATGTAAGTGTTCTTCAAAGAAGAACTTTTAATTCTGATTTTTTAATGATAAACACATGTATGTGTTTTCTCAAGTAACTAACAAGTGTGCAGATTGGTGTCGGGTGTTACCTATGCAATGAAGATCAAGGTGACTGACAATAAAGTTTGCATATAGGAAGTTATGTTTATGTATTGAAGATAGAACATGGTGTTTATATCTTCCATAACCACACCAGGAACTAATTGTGATTTCCACTAAAATAAAGCAGAGAGCAACAGTATTTATTTACTGTTTTCATCCATTCATGTGTTAATTGAATTATTTACTCTGTATTAGTATTGTTGGAAATGTACACTCACTTTTGAAAACATAATGTAGACAGAAAGTCTAAGTTAATAATACTCAGCATGTAACATTGAAGCTTTTTTCCTGCTATGTTTAAGTCTTCTAATAACCATGTGTGTGTGTGTTATATGCATGTACTTATGTACATAGTAAATATTCGTAAAACTACATTAGTTGAAATATACAGGTCAATTGAAATACCCATGTCTGAGGGAATAGAACTAGAGAAAGAAAATGCTAAGGAAATATAGTGTCAAAATACTGAGTGAAAGTCTTTGCTATTTATTTCACTGTTTTCCGTACAGTATGAAGTCACCTTGGGAAAGCCTGTTTCAGTGGTTGCAGTGTAAAGAAAATAGGCACAGTTGTAGCATGTTACAGCTGTTTATTGTTTTGTTTTTAATTTCTTGTGCAACTCAGCTAGAGTGCCATGTTCATGCTGGTACTTATGGTACCTGAGAATCAGGTGTTTAGCCTACAGGTAGAACAGTATTCAACCAATACATATGGAAAGGTTTTGCTTAATTGTTATGTAGAAGTCTAAAAGATTGCTTCAGCAGAATGTACTTTATTTCAGACAGTGTGAAACCTCTAAATTTGAATATATTTCAATAGTTTTATAAAGCCTCAATACATATTTGGAATGTTGGTTTCACCAATTATCTCACTATACTGAACTTTGAACTCTTGACCTTTCTATAGATAGTTCGATCACTGCTGACATTATTGTGCTCTTCATTTTTTTCACTCAACACAGAACAATAATTAGAGTAGTTCTTCTGTGTAGTCATGTCATAGTTTTCTTGTTTTTGACTTCAAATTTAAAGTGTTATTTAGACTTTAAACATAAAAGACCTCCTTTTCCTGAATGTCAACCATACTTGGTGCTAGCTGGAGGATTTACTCAAGACTCTGCTGACATTATATTTGTTCATGTGGATGTTCGTCCCGTCCCATTGTGATGGATTTGAACTGTATGGTGCTTGCTGGAAGAGTTACCGAAGACTCTGCTGACAGTTACATTTGTTCATGTGAATACTCCTCCAGTTCCTACTCTGATGGACATGGACTGTGTGGTGCTTGATGGAGGACTTATTCAAGACTCTACTGACAATTACATTTGTCCTTGTGGGTGCTTGATGGAGGACTTATTCAAGACTCTACTGACAATTACATTTGTCCTTGTGAATGCTTGATGGAGGACTTATTCAAGACTCTACTGACAATTACATTTGTCCTTGTGGGTGCTTGATGAAGGACTTATTCAAGACTCTGCTGACAATTACATTTATTCTTGTGGGTGCTCCTACAGTTCCATCTGTGTTGAATATAAGCTGCTTTCTTCTAGTTTCCACTTTCTTAATAATTTTGCCACTAGAAAAGAAAGATAAGATGCTAGAGCTGAGCAGCATTTCGACTCTCAGCTTTCCTGAGATGACCAGAGTTGCAGAAAAATTCAGCAAACCTAAAGTTATTTTCTCATATTATCTGGGCACCTCATCCTGAAATAAGAAATCACTCTAGATTATCAAACCTGTTGGCAGAATGGGAGAAAGGACCAAAGAACCTTAAAATGGCTGTAAATTTTCAGGCTCCAGGATAGATAAGCTGCAGAAAGTTAAAAAAAGAACCTAACCAAAGCAATAGACATCATTAGGATGAGGTCAACAGAAGGTTAGTGTGCTTCATTGTTGTTCTAAATGATGCTCACCACCAGATGCCCTTCAACATATAAATGTGTACATTTTGTGTATTTATTAATCTGCCTTTGAGTTTTAATGTATTTTGCACCGTCAGTATGTCCCTTTTTGTATTTTGAATCTTTAGCTGTCATATCATTGTGAATCACTATGATAGCATAGGTTTCTAGTTATGTTTTACGTGTATCTATAAATACATAATTTTTTATTGCTTTCATTTGTAGTATTAAACATAATGTACAAATTTATCATGTATTTAATTAGAAACATTAATTTGAAGGATGGTATTAGGTAATATTTTAAGTTTCAGATGTTTTTATTATTATGTTTTTTTTATTTCTTGTTAATTTTGTTAGTATGAATTGCATTAGTTTTGTTCAACTTTTATTTCCATTCATTTATTTAACTTTTTAGTTTCCACCAAATGAAACTATTCTGTAATTTATCATGTTATTAATTTGTTCAATCAAATGTTAGGCCAAAAGTATGCAGGCCAAAATGAGCTACAAATGATAATCTAGACAGGGTAATTGTATCTTAAGTAAAAGTAGATGGGATAGGGAAGATTTTTGTCATCTTAGAAATTGTAACATATTTTATTACGTGTTTTATTGACTTATTTGTTTCTCAAGTTTTATTTTCCTTCATCTAGCTATATATCTATGGGTATAATGATAAGCAACACATTTTGTTGAAAACAATCATGGAAGAGATAACACATTTTAAGGTTGATCCAAAACGTTTCAAGATTCTGAAAGAAACAGTGAGTATGAAAGATTGTCTTTTAGATATGATATGATATATATATATATGATAAGACATTACTTTTGGTTTCAGATATTTTTATCTCACATGATACTTTTAATTAATCCATTATAAAACTGAAATAAAAACTGTGTGCTAAAATATACTTTTAGTTGCTACAGAGCCAGATAAGTTGATGAGTTCAGTATTGAATAATATAGATAAAAAGTTTTCTGATATTGTCTTCTTGTAGTTTACATGTTTTACACCTTATACATGTTTTTTAAAAGATATGTTTACATAAATTTACACATTAAAAAAATGTCCTCAAAAAATACCTTCAATTTTATTTTTAAGTTTATTCCTTAAACTCACAAATTTAAGTTTTTTTATTATAACCAAAGTAGAGTATTAGAGTAATGAAAATTAAAGGGATTTAGTTTAATACCTTTAAAGGCAACTGTCTCTTATTTAACTTTGAAGTTGATAAGTATTCTTCTTTTAGAAATTGCTTTTAATGACAATATGTAGATATATTTTGTAAAATAACTTTGCCAGTATATGTAGTCTAATAGTTTGACTTCCTTAGTATATTCGAGATTTGAAAAACTTTTCTGCAAGGCCATCGTACAAACAGACCAGCTATTACACCTCAGAGCTATTATGTGAAAAGTGCTGGACTATAGAAGAAGTCTTGGGAGCTTTTGATGGTATTTCAAGATTTTTTTTATTGTTTGTAGTAAATAGAATATAAAGAGATTGAAATAAAGTTAAAAAAACTACATCTTTAAAGTGCTGATGAAATTTTAAAAATTTCATTTATCTCTACATGAACGTTTTTATGAAATTGTTAGTGAAAGTAATATTAGGTACCTCTGTTCACTGTTGCATTAAAGTTAATCAGATGAATTAATAATACCTTGTTGATTAAGATAAACCCCTTGGTAAAATGAGAAGATTTTTAAGTGTCAAAAACTCGATAAAGAGATAATTGCTCATTTTGTGGTGTGAGAAAAACAATAGTAGCGCCTTTAAGAGGTTGTTAAAGAAATAGGATCTTTACAATCATTTTTTTTTCAGTTGGCTTCAGTAAAACATTCAAATCATAAACTTGTATTATTTGTATTATTGTGGTCTTTTGTTTTGACACATTTTATTGTGTGGAAGAGTTTGTCTACTTATTTGTTTCAGGTTTTTGCAAAACACTACACAAGGGCTATCTGCACATAGCCCTCCCAACTTATGAACTAATAGACTGTCGAGAAGGCAGCTAGTCAACAGCACCAACCTTTGGGCTACTCTTGTCTGATTAAATAGTGGGATTTGACCAACACTCTTATTGTACACCCTTGGTTCCAAAGTTGAAATGTGTTTTTTGTGGCAACAGGAAGTAAACCATGAACCCTCAGATTCACAGTATAGGCACATTAACTACTAGGTCACACCTGTCCATGTATGAAGAGATACATGCTTATTATGCTTGGTAACATCACTAAAATCTGGTGAAGCAGCATAATTACCATTTGCTTTCTGAATTGTTAAGGTTTTATATTTCAAAAGTATTGTTTGATGTGAAATGTCTCAAAAATCAGTTAAAATCATTAATATTTACTTGTAGGATCTGGTGTTGTTTTAAAGGTTAAATTGTTGGATGTTTATTTTTGTTTAATAGGAATGTCTAGATCAATTCTAATAATAATAACATGAATCCAAATGCCAAAGAACATAATAATGTAAATTGTTTTGTTCCAATACAGATTTGACACCACAAAAGGTTGAAGAACAAATTCGTCATATACTTTCTCGTGTTCATGTTGAAGCACTAATGTATGGAAACTTGACAAAGGAGGTAAGTATACTAGTGCTGTGTCTGATATGTATTTTAACATTTTATTTAAATCTTGTATGAAAAACTATCCCATAGTTATTACGTTACAAAAACAACACATCATTCAAATGGGTTAATAAATAAATATATATATCATTATTGTTGTTTGAATTAATAATTAGATAATTTTAGTCCCGAAAGAATAATTTTGAATTTTTACTTTTTATTTTGATGCTTAAATAATGAGCATAAATAACAAATTTAAATAATTATTTCTAGTAATATTGTAAAAGAAATAACTTATTTCAGAAATCAATTGTGATTAGTACTGTGCAAGTTATTTAAAATGTGAGTCATTGTGGATATTTTTTATATGACTGAAGTAGGAATAAGTTTATAATCCTGTAGTCTGTAGTTTTGACATCATCTGTTTATCTGTGTGTGGAGAAGAAGTGAGACATGTTTATCATTTTTGGGAACTTAATTTGTAGTTGCGACACTCTTCTACAAACAAATTTATTTAAAATTTCACAAATGTGCATTTACAATGAAATGGGAATTTGTCCAACATGTACAGAATGATGTTCTTTGTCACCAAACATTTTAGAAAAAAGAAATAGGCAAAACATTTGCAACATGTAACATGTTTCTCTGCCATTTTTCAGATTTAATTTCTTTCTGTAATTGTACTGTCTATCCAAATTACAGTTTTAGTGAATTTTTTAATGTGTTTGGAAAAAAGTAAATGTCTGTTTTGTTTTTTCAGCATGCATTGGAGATGATTGATATAATTGAGAACAGTATTAAAGAATCTGTCAAGTGGCGACCTCTTCTGGCAAGTCAGTTAGTTTTGAAGAGACAATATAAGCTCCCAGAGGGTAATTTTAGTGGTTATAATTTCACTAGCTACATAATAATTACTGTATCTTGTATCATAGATATTAACTATTGTTTAACACCTTGCACCTAGTCGTTTTTTTCTTCATAGATATGATATTCTAGTGCTAATGTTTTTAATAGTCAAAAATTTATTTAGAATTCAACAAGTATAAAAGTTTTTTTTTGTTATAATGACATACTGCTGGCACCCTATACACAGGACCATGGAAAATGTCACCTCCACTGGGTATTTGGAGGCTGAAGCCCCATAAAAAAAAGGGGTGGAACAATTGTCAGAATTTTTGGATATTTTGAATAGTATATTTGATTTGTTTGATATATGAGAGCCAGATTTTGATTTATCATCAGATTTGATTGCATTACCACCTTTTTTTTTAAATTGCAACACTTGATGGATCATTGAATGCAGATTCATAAGGTATGTTTTAATCAGTCATTCATCTTTACCTGTTTGAATATTGATTGTTGCTTATTCATTTTGATTAATTTTAAGATCATGATAATCTGAACACACAATTTTGAAATCAAGCATTTAATCTAGAACGATAAAGATCACCAGAAATGGCAAGATATCACTAAAATAGTTTTCATTGTTTACAATTTAAGTTTTAAACTTTCGTCTGATTACTGAATTTTGAAAGTTATTTCCAAACATTTTATTTTTCTTTTGGTTTTTGTCTTAAATTTGGTTTTGAAATTTTTCCTGGGGATAAAAACCCCACAAACATGTATAACGTGCATAAAGAGCAGAGCACTGTTCTATTATAGTACTTTCACTTCATCATTTCTTGATTTATTACTCAAGTATTATAGATCAGAATTAACATTTTATTTTGCTTTATATGCATTGTCGTTAACTGAGAGTTTATTACTGTCAGTGCCACAACAGGGAAGCATGGTGCCTGGGGTGAAACCAAAATACACCACTCTACTCCCTGTTGGCCCCCCCTTGTTTGGGCACCCAGGGAAGTCGACTTCCCGCTTACTACAATACTGTTTACTGTTCATTTATAATTAGCTTTATTCATGTTTAGAAATGTACTGTAAACTTTAACATGTGTACAAAGCTGGTTTCAAGTTTCTTTTGAATATTGGAATCAGAACAGATTTTTAAACATAATTATACGATGTAAGCAATGTGTTAGGTTTGCTACGATGGTAAAGTGAGAGAAAATTTAGTTTGAAATTTTTCATTTAGATTTTTTGTTAGAAAATAAAGTTAAAACATACTCAGTGTTTTTATTCTATTTTTATAGTTTATTTAAGTATAAATTAGTTTTTAGTTACACCCCAGTGGCACAGGTGTATGTCTACAGACTTACAACACTAGAAACCATGTTTTGAAACCTGTGATGGGCAGAGCACACATAGCCAATTGTGTAGCTTTGTGCTTAACTACAAACAAACTGTTTTATGTGTAGTATTGGGAAGAAACTTTCATAGTATAGAATTTGAATTGTAATCTTATTCATATAATTTTATAGGTAGCCACTTTATTTAAATTTGAATTGTAATCTTATTCATATAATTTTACAGGTAGCCACTTTATTTAAATTTGAATTGTAATCTTATTCATATAATTGTACAGGTAGCCACTTTATTTAAATTTGAATTGTAATCTTATTCACATAATTTTACAGGTAGCCACTTTATTTAAATTTGAATTGTAATCTTATTCATATAATTGTACAGGTAGCCATTTTATTTAAATTTGAATTGTAATCTTATTCACATAATTTTACAGGTAGCCACTTTATTTAAATTTGAATTGTAATCTTATTCACATAATTTTACAGGTAGCCACTTTATTTAAATTTGAATTGTAATCTTATTCATATAATTTTACAAGTAGGCACTTTATTTGAATTTGAATTGTAATCCTATTCATATAATTTTACAAGTAGGCACTTTATTTGAATTTGAATTGTAATCTTATTCATATAATTGTACAGGTAGCCAATTTATTTAAATTTGAATTGTAATCTTGTTCATATAATTTTACAGGTAGCCACTTTATTTAAATTTTAATTGTAATCTTATTCATATACTTTTACAGGTAGCCACTTTATATTTGAGAAAGAGAACAACATTCATCGTACCTCATGCATAGAAACCTACTACCAGTGTAGTTTACAGAATACAGAACAAAACATGCTACTTCATCTCCTCTGCCAAATTTTTGAGGAACCATGTTTTAATATTCTTAGGACAAAAGAACAATTAGGTATTTATTTGTTGAAGTAATATATGAAAATGTGCTTTATTTGAAAGTTAACAGAGTAGTTGGGATTTTAGTTATTTAAGTAACATATGAAAGTGTTTTTATTTGTAAGTTAACAAAAACAGTTGGGCTTTCAGTTATTTACATAACATATAACACAATGTTAAAGAACAACAAGAGACCTTTTGATCCACGTAGGCTGTACTGTTTTCACTAAATTAAAATAAACCAAAAAATAAACACCTCAAAGCCAGCCTTTATCATTCAAATACTTATCAAGCTTTTCAATACTTTTTACTATGTTTTATAAACTTTTTTTTAAATTAGTTGATTCTGTTTTAAGAAATGAGAATCAGGTTGTAGTTTTTTGTTACAAAATTTTATTACGAAATATGATATTTTTTGTTTTTGTTTTTTTATTACCTTAATACCACTTAGCTTGGGGTCAGCTAGTATTTTTGTAAGCCAAAAATTTTTACATGCAGAGAACTGGCCCCCATCAGCAATCACATAGGATAGTTATGTTTGGTGATGGTGATCCAAATTCTTCACCTGCAGATTGCAAATCAAGTGCTTTAACTGTCAGATTCACAAACTGAGATAGTTATTATTATTATTTTAGGATTTGTAGTCTTACCTAAAATAGTGTACTCATGCACTGGTTTATGTAATTTATAATAAAAAAAACGTTTTATTTTTGATGTTTTTAGCTATTAATTAAGTAGGTATACACAATGAAATCCTTATATCTGTATTTTTTTTAGGGTATATTGTTTTCAGTGGTATAAGAAGATCTCCTAATGAACAAGGTCTGAGAGTTCTGGTTCAGTCAGACAAATCTCCATCTTATGTAGACACCAGAGTCGAAGCATTCCTTGCTTATATGGAGGTATGGCAATTGAAGTAGTTTTGCTGAATATTCAAACTATTTCAGTACTATAGACTTTTAATTTCCATGCTGTTTAACTAATACTATTCATATCACAGTTTTTTGCTTCAGTTTACAAGATTTGTACCACATCTATGATTATTTTATATGAAAATCAAGATTTTTTTTTGTCTAAATAAATAATCAATTTTGATTTAATTGCATATTTCCCCTTATAAACATAATCATGTGATGCTATTTGTACTGAAATTTCTTTGTTCAAGCATTTATTTCTTTATTATAGTTACATAATCATGAAGAAGAGAAAATTAAATTTTATTTCTGTCAGTGTTAAAGAACCACTTATTTTGATTTCGATACATGTATAATTTGAATTCAAATTTTTCTGATAATAAGCTTATGTTACGTCTCCGTTTGTTAATTAACTTTCCGTAACTTCGTTCCGACGAAACTTTAGCGACACAAGTTCTTTACTTAATAAAACTGGTTTATTCTTTCCGAATACAACTTTACCGATACACTCAACTTCAACAATCGCGCTAAACAAACGCTATAACAACGAACGTGCTCAATAATACTTCTGACTGCAGTTCAATTACTCACTATCTACACACACATTACCGCGTCACATTGTCCCCCTCTTTTATATACCCGACTACCCTATATCTAGTAATTACTAGAGCATTCGCCAAAGTACAGGATAGTTCTAGAAACGTGGCGTCACAGTGGTCATGTGACTCGCTGACGCAACACTTATATTTATCATATACTTACTAATTAATATTTAGACTTAGATGATCTTATAGGCTACTAACCATGACAATGATAAGTTAGCTATTAACAATTAGGAAGTTATTTTGGTGTTCAGCTTTTTACCACACAAAATTTCATATCTTTATTTCATGTTAATGTATACCCTAATACTTTGGGCACATTTGGTTGTGTATTATTATTATTTTTGTAAAATCCTGCTTTCTATGTAGCATTAAAGAAAGTAAATGTATGAGTAAAAGTATTTTATTTGTCAGAGATTAAAACTGCAGAGATTAGAAAGAAAGAATAGGTGTTACAAGTTTTCAATTCGTCATTAATAGAATATTTTATTGACTGATATTATGATGAAAAGGACAGCACTAATTTGCAAGAAACTTATAAAAAAATCTGTTTTATAGGTAGTATTGTTTTAACTGTCAGCCTTATTGTTCAACTGTGGAGTTTATGAATATAGAGAGAAATACTGCTCCTAGTTACACGTGTAGTATGTACATGCCACATATCTCACTCTTATATAATGTACATTTTGTATTTAAAACTACATTTACTACTTCTCAAGTTTTGATCATGTTAAATCTGGTCAGGGTCATGTGCTAATTCAACCCAAGGGGTTACTTTCTGTAAAAGGATTTGATCAAGGAGGCTATTTTCTGTACATCATGAATAGGTTATCTTATTTGCTGATATTTCATGAAAAGACGTGTTTGGTGCTAGGCTTTTATTCTTTATTGTACCCCTGAATTTCAAGCTTACTTTTTTGAAAATTTAACATTTTTCCAGAAAACCTATTTATTGTAGATTTATTACATGTACACATTATAAAATTCCATATGATCATGCTTGTGATTGGTATGCTTATTACTTAGAAAACTTGTGTTTATTTATATAATAACATAGAAATATTTGATAATATCCACAAACTATTATTTATTATTAACACTATAGTTATTGACATTACAAAATATTTTCAAGAACTTGATAAGTATATATTTAATATCAAAAAATATTTGAGGAAAAAGTTTATTTTATTAAAAGCTTGTGTATGTAAGTTTGATATTAATAAGTTTAAAACTTTCTTCCTCCTAGAATTACTTAAGCCAAATGACTGATGAAGAATTCAAGGCCCATAAAGATTCTGTCACTGTCCATTGTTTAGAACGACCTAAAAACATGTCCGAACAGTCGGATAGGTATTGGGATGAAATTTCATCCCAGCAGTATAACTTTGACAGAGGTGAGATTATGAATTATTTGTATTTGTGTACTTATAAGTGTTAAGCTTTTGAAAGAAACACTAAATATATGTAAGAAAACTAACTTCAAGGAGTAGTGGTAATATTTTTTACACTAGAATTATGATTGTGGTTTTTAATTACTATGAGTTATTAATAATACATGTAAAAGTGAATACTCCATTTGAAACTCTGTCATCTCATTGCGATTGGTTGAGACCATTATTTTTGTTTTTGTGTTATCATGTAATAAAAAAAGAAGTAGAAGAAAGAAGAACATTCAATATATTCGAACCTTTTGTTATAATATTTACAGACATTCCCAGAACTATTGACTAAGTCATTACGTAGATTTTGTTATAAAAGGAAACACTGTATAGTATTGTAAAGTTCTGATAACCTATTGAGGAGATATTTAAAATACCATTTCAATGAACAGTCCGAGCCATTCCTACATAGGTAGTGCTACTGCCTGCTTGATGTACTAATATCAAATTTGAAAAACTTTATAGAAGAAAGTTTTATTTGAGTTTACTTTATAATTCCATGATATTATCTTTCAGAAAATATTGAAGTGACATTTCTGAGGACATTGACCCGAGAAGACATCCTCATCTTTTTTAAGGTTTGTTAAATGTTATTGTAATGTTTTATATTTAATGATTATACAGTCATCAATCTTCAGCATTATACATATGGTGTTTTCATCTGTCATACTCTCAACTGTGTCAAGTTTGTTAATCGAACTATAGATTGGGCTTCATACTTAGTTATTTTTAATCTTGAACAGTATTTTTAATTGATATATATTGCTTGAAAACATGAGTACAGTTCATACAGATACAGAGAATGTCACTGAGGTGTAATACATTTAGATGCACCTAATTAAATATGCTTTTAATATGTTTTCTACATGTGTTTCTGTAGAGATTAGTATGCATTGTTTCATCAGTTGGGTACCCTTGCTGATATCAGTATTGTTAATGGTTATAATGCATTGTTTCATCAGTTCGGTACCCTTGCTGATATCCGTATTGTTAGTGGTTATAATGCATTGTTTCATCAGTTCGGTACCCTTGCTGATATCAGTATTGTTAATGATTATAATGCATCGTTTCATCAGTTGGGTACCCTTGCTGATATCAGTATTGTTAATGGTTATAATGCATCGTTTCGTCAGTTGGGTACCCTTGCTGATATCAGTATTGTTAATGGTTATAATGCATCGTTTCGTCAGTTGGGTACTCTTGCTGATATCAGTATTGTTAATGGTTATAATGCATTGTTTCATCAGTTGGGTACCCTTGCTGATATCAGTATTGTTAATGGTTATAATGCATCGTTTCACCAGTTGAGTACCCTCAATGTTAAGAATATTTTCAGCTGTTATCCTAATATCTCACAGTGTTTGGTAAAGTTAGGAGATTTGGGTTATTCTTAATTACACATCCTAAGCAAAAGTCTTTATAATAATAAATGACAAATGAAAATAAAAATAATTATATTCAATTTACCAACTAAAGTAGCCAATATTATAATTGAAAGTCATTGGTGCATATTTCATTGGAATCTTACTTCTTCTGACACACACTTTATAAAAGAAAACTCATTAGGCACCCCAATTATAGAAAATCAGAGGCTGTCTTGTATGTGACAATTAAACCCAATTATATAAAATCAGAGGCTGTCTTGTATGTGACAATATAACCCAATTATATAAAATCAGAGGCTATCCTACATGTGACAATTAAACCCAATTATATAAAATCAGGGGATATCCTATACGTGACAACTAAACCCAATTATATAAAATTTGGAGCTATCCCATATGTGACAATTAAACCCAATTATATAAAATCAGAGGCTTTCCTGTATGTGACAATTAAACCCAATTGTATAAAATCAGGGGCTATCCTATATGTGACAATTAAACCCAATTACATAAAATCAGGGGCTGTCCTATATGTGACAATTAAACCCAATTATATAAAATCTGGTGCTATCCTATATGTGACAGTTAAGCTCAATTATCTAAAATCAGAGGCTATCCTATATGTGACAATTAAACCCAATTATATAAAATCAAAGGCTGTCTTATTTGTGACAATTAAACCCATGTATTTTAGTTTAAATTGTGTCAAGTTGGTAGCATTGACTTTCCCTTGACACAAACAAAAACCAATCTTTACAAATTTACAAAATAAAAAATTAAATAATAGGTAATATGAGCATTATAATATAACAATATTGTTACGTCTTTGTTCGTTAGTTGATTTTCCATAACTTTGTTCCCACGAAACTTTAGCAAAACAAGTCCTTTTTTTAATAAAACTGGTTTATTCTTTCTGAATATAACTTTACCGATACACTTACTTTCAACAGTCGCTCTATAATGAAAGCTAGAACGTCTCACGTGCTCGTGCTCAACAATTACACACTCTCTAACTGCAGTTCAATTACTCACTACCTACACATTGTCCCGTCACGTTGTAACCATCTTATATATCCCGAACAATACCCACTTACAATAAACCAATAACAATTAACAATAACTTAATTAAATGTACAGTAATACAATCACAAAATTACAATTCAACAAAGTCTCTTAATTTTACGGGACGTATCTTCTTCCGTACTGGTCTCTGTCTTGTTGGCTTCTGCTTCATGTGGGGTTCATCTACTTCATCAGGAAATGTCCTATCGTCAATAACAGTCACATCAGCGGTAGTAACTACATCAAGAGCTTCACCGTTTCCCTTCTCAAAACTGAGTAGTTTCTTCTTCAGGTTGCACGTCTTCAGCAACAT